GTTTAAGACAAAATATCATCCATTGTATAAGAAGATATCTCTTTTGGCTTAATTCATATCCTTCAACTAGACAACATCAAATATCAAATAGCCTTTTCTATTTTTTAGTTTTTACTTATTAAGGGTGCCCAAGAAGTGAAGGCCAAAAGAATGCATGAGTTTGTGCAATCTCGATTCTGTGATTGTTCAAATTCTCAATATCCCTGAGTGCTTGAAGTATTGCTTGACGTCCTTGTTCTCTGGTGTTGAGAATTTTATACAATATCTTCAGGATCGGGCACAGCACGACTGGGGCTACTGGCTTGTTGGCATCAGCGTGCAATACATTCAAACTATCTTGGCTTAAAAGCTCGTAAAATTGCTTCAATAGCATAAACACCCTGAATAGTTCCTTTGCCGCTAATGCTTTCACCCATATCGAGTTGATCACTTCGATATGGGATTTTGTACGCGCACCGCCTTATAAGTCTTCTCAGCACATCCTCTCTCGAGTTGATCACTTCGAACAGGTGCTCGCCTACCGGGCCTGATTTGGGCCTTGTCGCGAAATGGGCCGTAGCTGTCTTGGGGAAATGCTGTGAATAAGCTTCCCCACGCACCTGCCCCAACAACGACGATTTTTAAAAGGTCGCCTTCGGATTTGCCAATGAATTTTTGGAGCTCGTCTAGCTTTTCTTCAAAACCGTTGGGTTTTGTGAGGACTCGTTTGGGTACGAGTTGTTGCTTAGGGCCTCAATACTCCCAACCATCTTTTTCTCCAGGAAAAATATCATGAGCCAGCAATCAACGATGAGATACTTTACTTGTCAATTATCAAAAAATAAAAAGAAAAAACCCAATTCAATATATCAGCAACCCTTCAAACTTCAAAGATATCCCATCAAACAAAAGGCATGAGTAAATTGACAAGCAGCTTGTGTAGAATGTACTGTTCACATCAAATTTGTTTCTGGAGCCCCAATTTCTTGTGACCCTTTTCGCTGCACGGCATTCATCCTATAGTTTAAATTTGATACAGCCATAAGTAGCGGCTCATGGAGGACCGGTTGCAATCCGAGTTTAGTCACATTTACACTGAATAGGAGCTAGGTAAGGGACTAGCTTGTCATGAGCACTTCGGTGGTATACCAAAGGTTGGTCAGCTAGACGGAGTTCAAATAGCTAGGCGAGGACTAGCTAGGCGAAATGCCAATGGGAGCTAGGCGAGGACTAGCTAGGCGGAGTACCAATGGGAGCTAGGCGAGGACTAGCTAGGCGGGGACTAGCTAGGCGGAGTACCAAAGGTTGGTAAGCTAGGCGCCTCGGCACCTCGGCAGCTAGGCACCTAGGCACCTTGGCCAGAGGGTTCAGCCGAGGGGACCAGAGTCTGAAGGTGGCTTCATGGTCGAGTCACAAAGAAGTTGTGGTGATGAGGACTCTGGAGTTTTGGATATGTCTGACCCAGATTAGAGATAAACACAAGGAAGACTTCTGGGTCGATAAGAACTCTTCAACCCATACATGACCTCACCTATAAAAGGGAACAGGTTCATTCCACATACACATATTATCTCGTTACTCTACTGCTTTCTCTCCGAAACACCACCACTGACTTGAGCGTCGGAGTGTCCACGTCGGGACCACCCCGGCGTGTTTTGCAGGTACCGACGATCAAGGAAGCGCAATCGAGTTCGAGAGGGGCGGTCGAGCGGTTCAAGTATTTGTGGTATAACAAATTGGCGCCGTCTGTGGGGACAAACTCAGTCTTCTACCAGAGTATCATAGGCTGTTTTTTCTCACCAAAGAAGAAGGAAGGTAACATGGATCATGGCAGGAGATAACTTGAAGAAAAACTTGACGAAGGATATGGATGAGGCGTGGACAAAGAGGGCTCTTGGAACAGGGCCGCCGCCCGGGTGGTCGCCGTCGCCTACTACCCCCAAGGATACGTTGACCCCGACACCGCCAACAGGAGCTCAAGGGCGTTTGGCGAACCCAGGAGAATCGAGTGGCTTGACCAACAAGGAGAAGGAGCTCGGCGGTGCAACGAGTGGAGGAATTGGTCAGGTCGGCCAGGTCCCTGATGGGAACACGGGTCAGGTGACCCCGCTGAACAATCAACAGATGGTCTTGGCAGGAGAGACCACCCAACCGAACCATCAACAGATGGTCTTAGCGGGAGGAACCAACCCCCCAGGCAACTCCTCGGTGGCAAGAGGAGATCAAACGATACATATGACGAGGGCAGAATTGGACAGGATCATAGTGGATGCAATAGGGCGGGCTCAAGAGGTTGATCGGCGAGCTAATGAATCGCTAAGGCATCCCGTGCATCAGCAGTTGTCCTTGCACCCTCACCAGACGCACCAGCGCGAAAGGGGGGATGAGGATGGCGATAGATCGGCGACATCTCGACCCTTGGTAGCACAATATGAGGGGTTGACTCTGGAAAAACTAGCGGAACAATTGCGCGAGATGCAAGCTCGACTCCAAGGGAAAAGGGTGGCCAGGTTGCATGGTCATCCTTTTTCGGAAGAGGTGCGACGTGGAGACTTGCCGAATAACTTTAGAGAGTTGAGCATGTCATATGGTGGGTCGGCAGATCCTGCTAGACACTTGAGGTCATTTGATAACATAGCGGTTCTGCACCGATATAGCGATGCGGTTAGTTGTCGGGCTTTCTTAACTACTTTGAAGGGCTCGGCACAAGATTGGTGGCCGCGCGTCGCAACGCGGCAAAATTAATATTTATATTTTCCTCGACTAACCTCTACTAACTAGTAGTAGTGGCGAGCAAGGGTCGATCCCACGAGGAGTGTGAATCAAATCGTGAATTTTCTCGTATTAATTGAAATTATGAAAGCAATAAAAGAGGGGGGATTGTGATTTAATAGCTAAACTAACTAAAATAAATAAGATCTAAACAAATAAAATAAAAATAACAATAAATAAAATAAAAGAAAGCTTCTAGTTCACGGTTCCGTCTACACCCTCGACTGACTCGTTTAATCAATTCTGGTATCAAATCTCACTATCTTATGAAATTACTAGCCCTAGGCAACGACACGGTCAGTTACCCGAATTTTTCCTTATTTTTAATTTAACCGCGAGACGCTCGACGATTAAACCTGACTTCTTGTACAGTCTAGAAAAACGTTTTCAAGATTTAATACAATTAGCCGCTTTACGAATTAGAAAAATAGGCTAGACTAAGTAGTGAACTCAACCGCGTTCGTTCACTTAATTAGGCCGTGTTATCCCCGGTAGTTACCATCTTCCGGTTACCTCTTATGAATTAAACACAACAACAATTACGGATTGCAGGCCTAATTCAGATGTAGATATGAAAAGCCTAATCTAGGTGATCAATCTAAACAAGACTAACACATCATGGTTAAGTATTCAAAATAACACAAGCAATTCCAAAAAGATAACTCAATAATCAACCAAGAAAATCAATCAAACATCATCAAGTCGTAAGGTTCAACATCCCCGGAACTAGAAATAAAAATCTAGTCTAACATAATAAATAATAAAAGAAAGAGAATAAGAATATCCCCTTTCGTGTGCGAGTGCGGTCTCCCTCCGCGTATTGATCTTCTTCTGTCTGCTTTTTCTTCCCGTTTGCGTCTTCTTTTCCTCCTTCTCTGTGCGTGAAAAATATGTGGCGGCTCCTCTTTTTCTGTCTGCGTGAATATTCTCCCTCAAAAGTAAATGGCTGCCCTTTTTATTCCTTTGTTGCTGCTGCGTGGGTTAATCTCTGTTTGCGTAAAATTAAGAATTCCACCCAAGTCCAAGACTCCATTCAATTCCTCATGATATTGGGCTGTCTGGCCCACACAAACTCACACATCCTCCAAACCCACGTGAATAACAAAAAGGTCATGTAATGACCAATTACTTTTAATATTCATCTACCAATTAATGGGCCTTTTATCTTCTTTCACGTTGGGCCCAAGTTGGGCTGGTCTGAGGCACCTCGTACTGACCCACTCATTTCTCGTTTGGTGTCACGCCTATGAAAATATTTCAATATCCTGAAAATAA